CAGTTTCCTGATGAGTTTCTGGTCTCGGTCTCTAGTTTCAGTCTTCTTCCATACAGCATGATGTTCATTTAGTAACTGATGGTCCCATTGAGAGTAAAGAACTAGATAAATAACCAGTTAGCTAGTGTTTTTCCTACAGACAGAAACAATCACACCACCTGATCAGCTAGCGTAACATCAATCGTTTGCTAGCTGTAGTTAGATCTGGACATCTGAATGTTTTGCTAACATTAGCTAACTTTAGATGTGACTATAAATATATAACTGTTATCTTTTAACCATCTTCAGCTCCACAGAGCGTCCAGCTGTCCACTGTGGGAATATATTCAGGCCTTCAGTTCGCTCTTGCTTCGCGACCCCGGTGTTGACCTCTGACCTTTCACGAGAGTGGAGACGCTGTTAGCAGCAAAGCTTCAGTCAACAGATTCACAACTTTAGAATCAGACCATCGACCGGTTTGTGGTACATCCAGATGCATCCAGATGTTTATCAGTAAATCTTTACACCTTCAGTCTCAATCTCAAAATCACTGGACTGTTTTTGCTCATTATTTTGTTTCGGGGACGAGGGCCCTTCAGCGACGGCTCGTAGTGACTCGTAGTGACTCGTAGTGACTCGGAGACAAACCTTCTGTGTCTGTAAACGCCAACATAAATGAAACGTTTTGGTGTCTTGGCTATAAAAGACATATTTCCAGAGGCGAGACGCATGTAAAGGAGCTCCTGACAGGTTGTTCTTCTGCATGAACACACCCGTGGGTCTGTCTCCTCCCGCTCACATAAACTATTGAAGATGGTGGAGGACAGATTGAAAGCCCTCCCATCTATGTATGTTTTCTCTCACAGGCAGGTGAGGCGGAGGGGGAGGGAGGGGGAGGGAGTTTTATATGAGGGAGCAGCAGAATCTCAGTGTGGACGTTCAGACCACAGAGGACACCTCAAGGTTGAACCACACTGAGCTAAATTATTCACCAGCCTCCTCGCTCTGCAGTGTGTCCACAATCCACAAAATGACCTTTATATAGGAAACACAACGCTGCCCCGAATCCCGTTCTGTCAACATTATAACGTTAATATTAACCGAAGGGCAGACAACCTTTATCAACAGTAAATAAATACAAATCTGTCTGGAGCCGCAAAACATATCTGAGTGTTATAATGCAAAGACCAGGGCGATGAAGAATGTCAGTTTAACCCTTTAAGATCCTCCGTTATATTGTTCCCATATTTAACTCAACTCAAACTCAGTTTATTTGTGTTTTTATATTAAAATCCAATCATTCTGTCTTCCTGTGAAAACTAAATGTGACGCGTGTTTACGTCAGCATGAACTGATTTCAACCAATAACATCCTGATACTCACTCGTCAATCAATCTTCAACTGTCAGTGACACAGAGTGAAGATTCATTAGTTAGTTAGCTCACTGATTACTGTACAGACACAACTTTATCTGTTTGTATGAAACTGGATCAGATTTTATGGAGAGATTATTGTTTCTGGTTTTCCCTCCGACGTCCTCCAGCTAACTGCTAATGTAGCTGCCGTTAGCGTTAGCAACCGAACGGGGCTCAGCAGCCTCGCAGTGAACCTCAGAGACAGACAGAGGACAGTTGGACGACAGCGGTACCGAGTGGATTTATGGAGGTTCCAGATGGACTCGTTGCTAAAAGAAGCTAACTGTCGCCAACAGTAATGTTAGAAGACATTAGGTAGTTAGCTTGTGCAGCTAACGTTAGCTGACTTCGCCCCGGGGTGTATCAGTATCCGATATTATTATTATTATATTATATTCTATGTGTGTCAGGTATCTGCGATTACGCCTCAGTGCACCGATCCAATCCCATATAACGACTTCCTAGCAGCGCCCCGTTTGCCTTTGTTTTTCCCAGGATTGTGAAGTCATGGACGAACATCAGGGATAGCAATAATACCACTTTAAGGCCATTGCCAGTCTGTATCCACTCTCCACTCTGACAGTATTGATTGTGAATACGAGACTCCGCAACCCACCGGCTGACGAGAGGTTCAGAGTCGGCAGAAACAAACATTCATTCACATTCTGTTTAACAGAATTAATAGAAATTGGGTTAAAATCAGCGACACATTTGTAGTTTTCTGTGGTATATTGATGTTATATTATTGATGTTATTGCTGCATGAAACTGAGAATACTTTTATAGTTTTACTTCAGGATGATTTCGTACGCAGGTCTTTTACTTCCACTGAAGTATTTCTATTATTGTTGGCTCATTTACTTCAGTAGGCCTGAATAATGTGAATACTTTCCACCTCTCTCTCTCTCTCTCTCTCTCTCTCTCTCTGTGTGTGTGCAGGTCGTACTAACAGTAACTCCTGTGACTTTCCATTTTAATAAGCCCGCAGCAGAATGAGAAAGCTGCCCAGCATCGATCTGTTTTTCCTCCGGCTTTATGGAGGGCAGGAGGGAGGAAGAGATGTCAGATTTTCCCTCAGCTGGATGGCAGCAGCTGGTCTAGACATGAAATCACCAACCACAGGATGAGACGGAGGTTCCCAGGACTGAACGGTCCTCACAAAGCCTCAGAAACACATTTACATAATGCTCATTTGTTTTACTGATAGACCTTTTTCACAGCAGCTATTCTGGACATGAACCCATAGGGTAAACACAGGTGTTAGCAAGGATACTAATTATGGTTCGGTTCCATCTTAGTGGAGCAGATTGTACAATAGCTGAATGGAACCGGACCTTGATTGGTAACACCTGTGTTTACCCTATTTCATGTCAAACTGGCTGCTGCTGTGAAAAAGGTTTATTACCATGTGTTGGGTAGAGTAGTGCCCCCTAATGGCAACAGGCAGCCTTGTATCATCTGATATTTATGTGACATTTTCATGGTGCCGTCCACGTAACGATTGTAGATAATTAGATTTTAATTAGCGTTTTTTTAAAATGTGGTTGTGATCAACGACCCGCAGGCGCCATCTTTGTTTTATCTCTACGTTAGCTCCATGTTAGCGTTAGCTTTTTGTTTTCTGTTAAAACTTGAACCACATTTCTTTCCGATATGAATCTGCTCCTGTGACTCAGCACTTACTGGAAAACACACGTCACATATTCATTTAAATCCTTTTTCCTTCTTCCTGTTTGGAGCCACGAGGACGATTTGTTTCCTCCGTTCGAACCTTATCTCCTCTAACGATTCTGTTCCTCCGTCCTGCCACAACCAGTCACCGCTGCCTTCCCCTGCACTCTCCTCCAATTGTGTTTTTCTTACTTCTCTTTCTGTTTTTCTGCCCCTCTCTCCTTTTTCTCTCTCCATCCTTGCCTTCCTCCCCACCAGTCACGGTGATGAAGTGGCCAGTGAGTAGCCGTCTCTGCCGGTAATCACCACGGTAACTCATAGCAGCGCCACAGCGCCGGCAACACGCCATCCATCACCGCCTCTGCTGCTGCGGGAAACTGATATATCAAGATGTAAATTGTGGCCTTGCTGCTCCTCCACTGTCTCCACTGAGGAGGAGGAGGAGGAGGAGGAGGAGGGAGAAAACTGGGAAAAGGAGAAGAAAATTCGAGGGAGGAGAAACCTGAATGTCTGAGGACGCTGGCGGAGTTAATCCATCCTAATCCAGCCTTATTGCTTTCTCTCAGCCTGCAGTGATCTGAGTGCACAGTAACATCTGTATAAAACACGCTTTATATTCTCATGTTTACAACAATTCACACATTACATTCACACCTGCAGGCAACTTACTCTTAATTCACACAATTAAAGCTCCAGTGTGAAATATTGAGGAGGATCCATTGTCAGAAATATAATATTCATGTTTTCATTAGTGAGAGAGCGAGTCCTCTTCTGGTGGAGTCCGCCATGTTGAGCACCGGCTCCACCATAGTTTCTCTTGTTCGCTTAATGCGAGGGGGTTGTAAACTAGTATTATAGTATATGGTTAATTAGGTTTATTATTTTATTCCCCAATGAATTGTTGGCAGCTGCAACATGATCATGAAACACATGTCTAGGCCACGTGTTCTGTGCCGGCCGGAGGGTTCAAACCAAGTGTGACTCTCGTTGAGGAGGAATTTAATTCATTTGGAAGCAGAATCCAATCATTGTGTCTTCCTTTAAAACAAAATATGCTTACGTCAGCATGAACTAACTGATTTCAACCAATAATATCCTGACATTCACCCAACAGCATGGCTAGCTACCGGAGCAGAGACTAAAGAAACTGGAAACCTGAACTACACAAACAAACAATAATGGATAGGCAGAATATAGACAGCTACAAATATATATAAATCTATTCTCTAAATTTCCAGGTTTTCCAGATACTCAAGCGGGAACCCTGCAAGCTGCAAGCCTATTGGTGCACTGATGAGTTTTACTCTATAATTTGGTACCGAATGACAGAAAGACATCATACGATACTCAGTAGCATTGACACAGTTCGATCGGTGCCATGAAAGTACGGTACCCGGTCCTTGTTGTCAATATGATGCCTGAGTTTCAGTATTGACACCAAAATAAAAGCAGAACTACAGAATTAGTCACCAAATGATCAAAATCGCAGGTAAAATGTGTGACAAGCAGCATTATAATGAAGTACTGTAGAGCTGCAGAGGTCACCTGCTCTACAGCTGTTATTACGGATCCCGAAAAAATGTCACATCATCACAATTTTTCTAAACGCAGATGTAAAAGACCCTAATATAACTTAATATAGCCTAATATGACTTAATATAACCTAATATTATCTAATGTAACTTAATATAACCTAATATGACTTAATATAACCTAATATTATCTAATATAACCTAATATAACTGTCTATTATTAGTAAATAACAGTAAACAGGACGATTAACCTCCTCAAACGTTCAGTCTCAACAGTTTTGGAAACATTTTGGTCGACAGATGCCAAACAAGCTCACTAACAGCTGTTACTCCTGTTGATTGGAAGAGTCATTATCTGTGTCCAGAGATCAAAACTGAGCAGAAAGTAAAGAAACATCACTCACTGTTGGAGGTCGGCTCCCTGCTGACGGTGCCTGAGGAGACACAACACACAGCTGATCAGTCTGCACGTCCTAAAGGAGTCAATGTGTTCAGATCTGTTCAGGTTTCAGTCATTACATCATCTCAACCCCGCCAGCCCCCTGAAGCAGCACCCAGTCTGTTGGTGGAGGAGGCGCTAATAAAACTGCTGTATGATTTACAGCATCCACACACACACACACACACACACACACACTGAGCAGCTGGGCTGGGCTGACCTTTCTAAATAAAGGGTAGGCAACTGAAACAAAAGCAGTAAAACTGAGTGTAGAAGAGCTGATGTGATCAGAAAATCTCTGGAGGAAAAGTCTGTTCAGCCTCAAACAAATGGCCGCTGACCATCAATCAAACAATACGTTTGAATCAGCCAATCAGAATCAGCCGCGGGGTTACATTGGAGTACTGCAGGGGTACTTGGGATTGTTTTTTAAATGTTAATTTAAAAAAATAACGTCATGCATAATATCTGAAATAATTAAACTGTAATATGTTAAATAAATTGCTTTGCGGTGGTGAGGGGTAAATTAATAAAAAAAAGTTCCCTTTTGTTTTTAAGGTAATAAAAGTGTTAATCCGAGCACCTATGTCTGGTTTTACTTAGTCCTAACGTTGTCTTTGGAAAGCTAACAGTCAGTTTTTCACATTAAACGTGAGGACGAGGACTAACCGATGAGTTTTACAAATGTAATGCTAGCTCAGATAACGTTAGCTCGAGTTGCTTCTCTAAATCTAATAAAAAGCAGGACAGAGCTGCTAACGTTTAAACACTGATAGCATCGAGAACAGGATGAGGAAACACTGCGCAGTGAATGCTATAAGCTAACAGTGCTTTCTTTAACAACTAATAGTTAATGGGTCAGTGTACTTTGCAGCGAACAGGTTTAAGGCACATTTTCTTTAGTTTTTAGGTTTGTAAAGACTAAATGAGACACTGCAAACTGTTTAAAAGCGGAGTATCTGTGAGGAGTTGTGACAGTGAGCTGTGTTGTGTTGTTGTTCGGAGGAGGGGTTCAGTGAGCGGTTAATTATGTTCTCAGCATGATATATAACAGAGTATGACATGATGTTGAAGTAATGCAATTTCCTGTTCTTTGCTTAATGCTTTAATTGTAAGAAAATAGTTTCAAAGACATTAAGCATTAAATGAATTGATGGTTGACAGTTATGGAGCAGTATGTGAATAGAAAGTGACTAATTACTGTTTAGTGTTCAGCCATGTGAACGGTACAGAGTGTTACTGCCAGAGCACACCATATGGCAAACACGGTCCCACGCCAAGCAGAAGCAGCCCAGACTAGAATGAACCAGTCCAGCTTCCAGCAGCTCCTCTCTGCTGTACCAGTGTGCCAGTATGCTGTTACAGCGTGAGGCGAGAGGACTGACTCTCCTTCTCTTTTCAAAATGACTGAACTGAAGACTAAACCCACCGTTTATTGGAACCAAAAAATACTAAAAACTATGTATTTTTATATCAAAATCGAATATTTCCCGCTACCACTGCTCACTGGCACAGCTTCTGAAAGGTCCCAGCAAGAAGTGTTCACATCTGAAGGTAACACCCAAAACCAGTCGGGACTGAATACTGTGTTCATATCGGTCCAAAAAATGTACGGAAGGAAAATAAAACTAAGCAAAATAAAGACTGAAGATAACAACTGCAATCACACAATCCTTCACTTAAAGTTATCAAACAAAGTTATTATTTATATCATTATATGAATCAAATAGACAGTACAGACCTCTGACCTGGATCCACAGCTCTGATCTGTGCCTTGTATCTATGGCGCTGACCTATGCCCTGTATCTACAGCATTGACCTATGTTTAGGTATTACTGTATTTTAGTTCATATTAATAATGTAATTATTGTTACTATTATATAAATCAAATACACACTATAGTGCTCTGACCTGCATCTACCGTACTGACCTATGCCCTGTATCTGACCTGTGCTCTGTAACTATTGTCAAATTGATCTTATTAACTGCCTCTGAAAGACAAGTAGCGTCAAAATACTGGACTTCAGTAAAACTTGTGAAATAACGTTAATATTAATAATATCATTATTGTTGCTACTGTATGAATCAAACTACAGACCTCTGACCTGCATCTACAGTACAAACACACAACTTTATCAGTGATTTGGGTGAAACTGGATCATATCCTCCAGCTGCTCTGCCTCAACTCCGCTAACTGCTAATGTAGCAGCCGTTAACTAACTGTTAGTGTAGCAACTGAACCGCGGTAGAGAGTAAGAGAGTTTCCTGATGTCTTCCATGCTAAGAAATAGTTAGCTTGTGAGGTTAATGTTAGCTGACTCAGCTTTAGGGTGTCCAACTTGAAATCCAACTTGGACCTGTAGCACGTGTCTGGACCTGCTGAGAGCTCCCAGCTATTGGCTAATGTGACAAATCCCTCACTAACTTTTCATTTTAGTTTCATTTTGCACTAAAAATCATAAACAACAACAGCTACAAATACAATAAGATATAATATTCAGCACAACATTTGGAGACCTCCATCATACTGAATACACTGCACATAGAAAATAAACAAACCGGCACTGAGCTGCTTCCACGTAGAAAGAGTAGAAATGACACCACTTACCAGAATTACTGAGCACACACCTGAACAGCAGGTGAGCTGTTAACCTTTTCTTTGTCTTTCTTTCTTCTTAAAACTCTGCTCTTATTTCTTTTATTTCTGTTTTCCTGGTCTCCTGTGTGTGTGTGTGTGTGTGTGTGTGTGTGTGTGTGTGTGTGTGTGTGTGTGTGTGTGTTTATCTCCCTGTTTTCACTTTCATTATCATCTCAACACCAGCGGAATGATTTCTTATGCAAATGACTGCATAAATCTGCATATCACTTAACGAGATGTTGTGCGTGCTTCAGTGTGATTGCATCGATATGGATCAGTTACACTTTCTTCTATGAGCTCATGTTTATATTCATTTAAGGATTCTTCACAGTTTACCTTTTTATGAATATCACACAATCAGAAGAAACATTAAAGAGTCCTTCACTTACATATATTTGTGTAATTAGAGACCTACCAGCTGAACAGCAGCTAACCTGCTAACCATACAACCTGTTAGCATTGTCAGTGTGAGCATCATCATGTGGATATTGATCGTCTGAAGGAGCCAATAGCTCACTGCTATGAGCTAGTGTCAAACTGGCTGTGCTCTTCCTGAGTTATATCTGATAGCTAATGTCAACAAAACAGAAGACCATTTTGATGTAGATTAGCTAGTTAGCTAGCATTTTGCTAACATTGGCTAACCCTCTTCTTGGATGCCTGTTAGCATCCAGCTCAGTACAGCCTCGCTGTTAGCATGTCTGTGGTTTGTTTTTCTATTTTCTGACATTTTATAAACCAAATGTTTTATTTTTGGTCATTAATTATGAATAGCAATGTAAATGATCCTTATTTGTACCCTGTGTTGTTGTGAATTAAACATTAATTTGATTATTTTATCTGATGTTTACTGACTGAAACATTCTTATTCATACTGTGATATTAATTTGAACCGTATCACAGCGCACAAACATCACAACCACCATATTGTAGGAAATGTTTAAATGCATCAGACAGAAATTCTATTTTCAAACCTCTCTGCAGTCGGGTCCATTTATAAAGTGTTTAGCAGCAGAACAGGATTTAAATCCGACACCTTCATAATTACTGGATTTAAACTGCAGCAGACACGGAGAAGCTTCAGATGCCTCATTCATAAATATAATATTTCCCGTCTTGTTATTGGAGGCAGAAAAAAACCCAGACAATTCAAAACGAGTCTGAAATGAAAATCTGGATGAATTCATCAGGGTCGTCTCAGCAGAATACTAAAGACTGGTCTGCTTTTCAAAATAAAGCTCCAGGTCTCTACGGACGAGCCTCTCTATTCATCACACACAATAGCCGTTGTCTCCCAGAATGAAACACACACACTAATTGTGTGTTTTGGTGTTTCCTTTCTGTGGCTCTGCGTTGTGTTGATCAATCACCGGTGCAGTGAGGAGCAGGGTGAGCCGGGTGGCGGTGGCGGTGGCGGCGGTGGCGGTGGCTGGGGCGATGTACCTGCATCCCACCTATTGGCACCATCCGTGTTCCTGAGAGCCCTCGTATAAATCACCGCTAATGACACCAGGACGGAGAGAGAGGGAATACACCAGGCAGCAGGAAGCAGCAGCTATTTGGCTAAAATATTCTGCTCCTCAGGATATTGGTTTTAGGAGAGTTTATAAAGTTTATTTCACCTGCAGTGAGGACGGAGAGAACCAGCAGGAAAACCCGGTTTCCTGGTTGTACGTGTTTTTAATCTCTTTCATTTAACCTTAATTTAGCCTCATGAGGAAATTAAACCTGTTTGTCCAGGAGCGAGTTACCATCATTAACGGTGCACATAGTGAAGAACAGTTTCCTGATGAGTTTATGGTCTCTAGTAATGAGCCTTCATAAGCCCCGCCCCTTTTTGGACCTCAGTCATGTTATGCTAATCGATATGCTATATGCTAAGCTAATCTATGTTGTAAAGACAACCACATTTCGAAGATGGTTAAAAGATAAGAGAGACATAAATATTTGGCTTATGTTAGAGTAACAGTAGCTAACTAGCTAGCTAACGATTCATGTAGATTAGATGGATAAGCTAACTGCTGTGTTGTAGCTAAGCTAGCAGCAGCATGACACAATGATTTGAAGAGATTCACATTCTCACTTTCTTGCTTAATCTGCTTTAATCTGCTTGATGTCATTTTAACCAGCGAGATGAAGCTAAAGATGCCTGAACATTTTAAATCTCCATCAGAAGCATCTGAAGCCTGAATGCACGTTAATGTTCTCCATCCGTCCAGGTTGTGTTTAAGAGCAGCAGGGGAGGAAAATGGTCCCGATCAGAACTCAGGTTGTGTTTAAGAGCAGCAGCGGAGGAAAATGGTCCCGATCAGAACTTTCCTGCAGTCCAATGAGGACGGACAGAGAGTGTGATTGGA